CCTCATCATCATCAGCATCATCATTATCCCTCCCTCCTCCGCATCCTCCTCCCTCCCTCCTCGTCCTCCACCTGTTCCCCCTCCATCCCTGTCTCCATCATCATGCCCTGCTTGCCCCCCTCCCCCCACCCTCTCCTCCTCGTCATCCTACCCCTTGGCCGACGCGCCTCCGTGGGAGAGCCCAACAGCTGCATGATCTTGAAGCAGGTGCCTGTTTCGGAGGTCCCCGCAGAAGCCACGGGGGGGTGAGACTTCAAACAAAGTCTCCGCATCATGTAGAATGGCGATTGAGACAAAACACAAGGGGAACTCTTCATACAAATAGTTTCCTGCCCCTGGGAAAAACAGTTGGAATGGACGGTCGAAAAATCTCCGCGACGCTGACACGCCGACGACCAGGTCGGGCACCCAATGTACTGATCATCGCTCAGGGCGCTGCTGTGTGACAGGCCCCACACACACACACTACTTGATCGGCATTCGGCATGAAGGGACCATTTGGAGGTATACACATATCTTCGCAAAGCCCCATTATCTCCGCGATGTTGCAGGTCGGCATGGCACTTGGGAGTTCCATGAGGGTCCGCCAGGGGGTATGTGACAGGCCCGTTCGCGTCAAGATTATCGGGACCTCTCAAATATCAAGATTGTGTCTGTGGGAGGGGGCAGGCGTGTCTGTTTTCCAAAGCCCCATGATCATCGCGATTTAGCAGGCTTAGCACTTGAGCCTCCCCGAGGGAGCCGCCAGGAAGTATACCACGAGCCCGCGCGCGCAAAGATTGCCGGGGCCTCTCTTGAAAGGCCCTTTTGGGGCGGGGTGCAGAGCCCCATGATCACAGCGACGAAGAAGACATGGCAGTCGGGGCTCCGAATGGGGGGGTCTACCAGGTATGTCGCCCCCTGGCCCCAGGAAGCCCCACGAGGCCCCAAGCCCCAGGAACCCCCGGGAAGCTTCAGAATTCCCAGGTGCCCCGGCGGAGCCCCAGCCCCAAAACACCCCAGAACGCTCCAGTGTCCCCCCATTCATGACAAGACGTATTCATACTCCGATCCATTCCATTTCAAGCTCGCCATAACCATACTCGCCCATCTTCAACAACATATTCAGACTCACTGGTACTTAGCCCGACTCAAACTCAGGCGCTCAGGCGCAAATGCACTCACAACTATACGTAGCCTGACCCATAACCACTCATGCCAAGGCCCAATAATACAGAGACTCTGTATCTCAGCCGCTCAGACTCAAATCCACTTACACTCAAACCTACTGAAACTCATACTAAACCATATTCAGGTGCACTCATACAGATCACCCAGACTCACTCCTTCTCACCCACTTGTGTGTTGCAACCCGTATGCCTCTCACACTCTGACACTCTAAAGGAGCAGCGCTATTGAACAGATGCACGCATGGTGATACCCGCGTCGAGTCATGAGCATGCACAAGCTCCAGATTGTTTGGAACGCCCTGGGGGGGGGGCATCGCGCGAAATGGGGTCGGGGACGGGATGCTTCTCCTTCTGGGGCGCGGGGCGGCTCGCGCGAGGAGCTGGGATTGGCGCGCGCAAGGGAGCCGGAGCCGGCCGCCGGGAAGGGGCGGCGCCGGAGGGGGACGGAGGCTGGCCGGACATCTTGGAGCATCTGCGCGTCCCAGGGCCGCTTGGACGCGCCAACTGGGAGGCAGCTGCTGGGAGGTTCTCGTCGGAAGGATGGGAGAGGATTGGGCCCCATTCGGGGGCTGTCATGCCGGAGTGGGCCTCGGATTAGGCGGGATTCAGCGGGATCAAGCTGGAATAAGCGGGATCAAGCCGGATTAAGCTGGACTAAGCTGGACTTCGGACCAGGGCAAAAACAGAATTTGACCTCCCAGGAGTTGCATCCGAAGGCCAGCTGCATTGCGCGCACGGTCTGGGACAATCAAGGGGCCCAGGGGCACACAAATCTGCCGACCCTGTCGGCGTGTGGAGGGAGAGGGAGGAGGAGGAGGAGGAGGAGGAGGAGGAGGAGGAGGAGGAGGAGGAGGAGGAGGAGGCGTGCCGATCTCGCAGTCCCCGGGGAAGATCGCGTGCCCGGCGGCCATCTCGGCGACGATGCACCCGGCGGACCAAATGTCCACCTCAGCCCCGTAGGTGTGGCGCCCGAGGAGCAGCTCCAGGCAGCGGTACCACAGGGTGATGACCTCCGAGGGGGTGAGGAAAGCGGAGTGAGGAGGATAGGGGAACACCGGAGATCTGGGCGTTGCATGTCTTCCATCGCGGGCGTTTTCGCCCAGTTTCGGGTGTCTGGACCGTCACAGGTCGATCAAGCTCGGGTGCGTCGATGGCTCTGTTCGTGATTCCCAGCGATGCTGCAATGTCCGAGAGAAGGCGGACCAGGGGAGGAGTAAGGGACTCAGGGGCACAACAAGAAATACACACAAATCCACGGCTTCCCCATAAAAACCTCCCGCCGTGATTTTTGTCACGACGCGCGCATGCTTGGGCGTGTCCCCCTCGTCCCAGGACGGCGCGGCGGCGCCAGAGGAAAAAAACTACAAACATACAACATGACGCAAAACCGCAACTGGAGCCCTGGGCCAAATCCTTCTGCTGCATGTTCCGATGGCCCAGATGCCAGGGGAAACGAACGAGACGAAACAAGTTGCAGCGCACAGGTCCCAGGGTCCTCCCCTCGTCCCCCCCTCGCGGCGCCGAGGGGGGGGCGCCGCCCCTACCCAGCGAGGCCTCTGGGGTGTATGCCCTGCTGGGCGTCGACACGGCGCGCGCGAGGCCGAAGTCACAGATCTTGAGGCCGTGCACCTCTTGGGCGGAGGAGGGGGTCAAAACCCTCGTCCTCCTCCTGCCCCTCCTCAACTTCCTCCCTCCCTCTCACCCTCATCATCCTATCCTCCTCCTCCTCCTCCTTGTTCTCCTCCTCTTCCTCAAGCTTCTCCGCTTCCACCCTCTCTACCTCCGTCGCGGGCGACGGACTCACTCACTCAGTCCTCACTCACCACTCACTCTCTCAATCACTCCTCACTCACGTCACATTCCTCCTCCTCACACCCTCCTCCTCTTCCTCCTCCTCCTCCTCCTCCTCCTCCTCCTTCCACCCCCTATCCCCTCTCCCCCTCCTCCCTCCTCCTCCTCCTCCTCCTCCTCCCTCTCCTCCTCCTCCTCGCCGCTCCTCCACCCCTTGCTCCTCCTCCCCTTGCTCCTCCTCCCCCCTCCTCCTCCCCCTCCTCCCCCTTGCTCCTCCTCCTCCTCCTCCTCCTCCTCCTCCTCCCCTCCTCCTCCTCCTCCTCCTCCTCCTCCTCCCACTCCTCCTCCTCCATCCCCCTCCCCCTCCAGCTCCTCCTGGTCCAACCCTCCAACGTCTCCTCATCACCTGCCTCATCCTCCTCGCCCATCTCATCCTCATCATCATCATCAATCATCACCATCATCATCATCATCATCATCATCATCATCACGCATAAGCACCTCATCTCATCATCATCTCAATCTCATCATCTTCCTCATCCTCATCATCTCATCTCATCAGCAGCGCACAGCATCATCATCCGCACTCATCATCATAATCCAGCAGCATCAGCATCATACATCAGCATCATCATCAGCATCAGCATCATCATCATCATCACCATCATCATCAGTCATCACATCATCATCATCATCATCAGCAGCATCATCGCATCATCACGCATCAGCTCATCATCATCATCACAGCAGGCAGCATCAGAATCAGCATCTGCATCAGCATCACCATCGTAATCATCAGCATCATCACCATCAGCAGCATCATCACCATCAGCACCATCAGCAGCAGCAACAGCGTCCGCATCAGTACCATCATCAGCGTCAGCATCAGCATCAGCACCATCAGCACCATCATCAGCATCATCAGCATCAGCAGCATCATCCTCCTCATCATCAGCATCGTCATCATCAGCATCGTCATCATCATCACCATCAGTCTCATCAGCAGCATCATCAGCATTGTCAGCATCAGCATCATCAGCATCGTCATCGCCCTTCCTCCTCCGATCGCCTCGCAAGCGCGGGGGGCAGCTCATATCAGCATCAGCATCATTAGCATCAGCACCATGATCAGCATCATCAGCATCAGCACCATGAGCAGCATCCTCCTCCTCCTCCTCATCATCATCATCAGCATCGTCGTCATCATCATCAGCATCATCATTATCATCATCAGCAGCATCATCATCAGCAGCATCGTCATCATCGGCAGCATCAGCATCATCATCGTCCTTCCTCCTCCGATCGCCTCGCAAGCGCCTGGGGGCAGAGAGAGGGCGGAGGGGTATGGGACAGGAGGAGAGGAGCGAGAGGGTAGAGTGAGGAAGGGAGGAGGGAGGGAAGAGGGATTGGGGTGGGAGGGAGGGGAGTGGAGAAGGGACGAAGGGAAGGAGGAACGAGGAAGGAGGAGAACATACACTCAAACATTGCCTTGAGCAAAAGCCAACTTTGGAAGCGCAAGTTCTTGAGGCCACGTGTTGCGTCTGTTGGTAGTGGTGGAAAGAGGGTCGTGCTGGGGGGTCGTGCTGGGGGCCTGGTGCTGGGGGGAGTTTGTGCTGGGGTGCTGTGCTGAGGGGGTGTGCTGGGCGTTTGTGCTGGGGGTTGTGCTGGGGGCTTGTGCTGGGGAGAGTTTGTGTTGGGGTGCTGTGCTGAGGGGATGTGCTGGGCGTTTGTGCTGGGGGTTGTGCGGGGGGGGGAGGGGGGACACCCCCCCAGCACAAACGCCCAGCACACGCCCTCAGCACAACCCTCCCCAAGCACAACCCCTCCTGCACAATCCCACCACGCCGACCCCCCAGCACAACCCCCCAGCTCAATCCACCAGCACAAGGTCCCCGCAAAACATCTTTGCGCAACACCCCAGCATAACCCCTCTTCAAAAACCCAGCATCTCACAATACACAATCTCCCCAGCACAACCCCCACCACGACTCCATTGCCAACTCCCAGCACCTCACCCCAGCACAACCCCCAAGCACAACCCCCAGTGAAACCTTCAGCGCTAACAAGCTGGGTCAGCTTGTACGGACTCGCTGCTACGTATTAACGGCGGGAGACGCCCAGGAAGAAGGAGAAAGGATGAGGGAGGAGGCAAGGAGGGAGGAGGTAGGGAAGAGAGATGGCGAGGAACGTGCGAGGGAAGATAAACGACGAACCAGGAGGGCAAGGAGGGAGGAGGAGAAGGGAGGAGGACGACCCCCCCAGGACAACCTAAGCCCCCACACGGATCCCCGAAAGTCAAAGGAAATCATCCCAGAATCTCCTCAACCCTCAACCGTCTCCTCCAAGGGGCCCGTGAGGACCCGGATCGCCCAAACGGCCAACGTCCTCCTCCTCATCCCCCTCTCCTCCCCGCTCCTCGATCCTCTGTCTCTAACTGCGCGCCTCCTCCTCCTCCTCGTCATCTTCCCTCCTTCTCCTCGATCCTCCTCCCTCCGCCCTCCTCGATCATCATTCCCCTTGAAACTTTCTCCCCAGACCCCGACGCCATGACTCGTTCTGCCAACGTGGACCCCTGAAGGCCCTGACCCCCCCCGCGGCACCGGCTCTCCATCCTGGTTCCGTCCTGGAAAACAGCCCACTGGGCCCAACGGGGGCCGCCGGGAGCCGAGGAAAGGGCCAAAAACCTCCCGTCGCTCGTTCTTACAACGCCAGGGGTCTAGATTCAGGATCCAATCGTGAGAATGAACTGTCTCCCAGAGATATCGATCCCGGAGATATCGATGCTAGGACGCCTGCAACATGCTCACAACGCGGGCTACGATATGAACTAGGGAGGATAGTAACTTCTGCCTCCCTGCCTGCTGCTCCACGTGCACCACATTCAATCCCGTGGACCAGGAGATACAAAGGGAAAGGGGGGATGCTTTATCATCACGGGGTGCGGTCACCCGCGAAGTGACTACTCGCAAATGACCTGGATCTTCGGCGGGGGATTGACGACACACTACACATCGAGGCAAGCATGCTCTTCCTTGACGCTTGCGAGTGGGTACCTTGCGAGTCGTGGAACGCGCTCGGTGAGCGCCCGCAAACCCCCACTACCTATAGAGGGATCAGCACCTACATCGACATAAGCTTGTGGCCTCGCGGACCTGTTGGATCGGTGCTGCGCTGGATCCCCTCCCTGGCTGAAGGGGCCCTGGGACACACAAATAAATACACACACACAAATAACAGGATTCCCCATATTTTCCCATATCTTCTGACTTTTTGTCTTCCCACCACTTCCCATATTTTCCCATATTTTCCTCGAAATCGACGATGAGTTGTGTCTGTGTGTTTTTCCCCTCCTGATTGGCGCGCGGAGCGCGGCCAGGGGCAGCGCCAGAGGCGCCGCCGGGGGGCGGCGCGGACCTCGGGAAAGCGATGCCCATGGTGCATATGTAGTTGCCCGTTCTCTGGGTGCCGCCTCCCCTTCCACAGACGACGCTCCTGCGGCAGCACGCCGAGGAGAGGAGAGCAAGGCCGCAGGCACCGGGTGGACGAGGAGGTTCTGCGGCTTGAGGTCGCGGTGGACCCGCCGGCCCGCCCGGCTGCCGGGGAGGGGCCAGGGCGCGCGAAAGAGACGGCCTTCTCTCCGCGGGCCCCCCCAACCTGCTCGCGTCACGGTAAACATCGGCGGCGAACCCCGGGGGGGGAAGGGAGAGGGGACGGGCATTCCCAGCAGGCCCTGAGAGGCCTCAGGCTTTCCGAAAAGTGCTCCCCGAAAACGCAAACAAGTTTTCAGAGGGCGCGGAGGTTTCCGAGAAACCCCGCCGCCAGGCCTGCCCCCTCTCACTTCCCCGCCGGGCACGCCGCCAAAAAATCATGACGGGAAAAATTCGGCCGTTCTCGGCCCAGTGGGGGCCATCGCCGGGCCCAGGGACCGTCCACAAAAAAAGCCTCGGAATGAGAAGCCGGCCCTGGGGAGAAGAGGGTCGGGACTTCTGGGAGCCCCGTGCCGAGAAGAAGAAGAAGACGAAGAAGAAGAAGAAGAAGGAAAAGGGGAATAAGAAGATAAAAAAGAAGAAACACGAGATGAGCAACAAACACAAAAACACAACAAGACTTGCATGCCTGGGCGTCGCTCCGCGGACCCCAGGGGATCGGACCAACTCGGCGTTCCACGGGAGCAGACATGCACGACCCTGACAGCCGGGGGGGCGGGGGGCGCGCGCTGAGGCCCCACGTGGCCCCGCGCGCTGAGGCGCTGAGGCTCCGGGGGGGGGAGGGGGCGGGGAGGGCGGGGCGCTCCGAGTGGTCCAGGGCGTGCGAGACGGCCGGCTGCCCAGGCGAGGGAAGCTGATTGGGCTACCTCTCTGGCATCCGACACCTGCTGACTGGGCCACCAGGAGGCAGCCCCCTATCGGGACAATGTCGCGGACAAGCCGATCTATATGTGTGTGTGTGTGTGTGTGTGTGTGTGTGTGTGTGTGTGTGTGTGTGTGTGTGTGTGTGTGTGTGTGTGTGTGTGTGTGTGTGTGTGTGTGTGTGTGTGTGT